CCCTCTCTCTCTCTTTCTCTCTCTCTCTCTCCTTTTCTATATATATATATATATTTTTTAGCTAAGCGAGGGCGTTTTATCGTATGGGCGCGCCAGCAACATAATTTTCACTCTTTTCATTTTACACTTACGCCATAATTCGCAGCAACACCTACGCACACACACACATACACACACACACATGCACACATGCACACATGCACACAATAAATTTGGCTCTCCCTTTCGAACGGTTTCAAACCGCCTTTGCCAGCGCCAACTTCGATTTTCGCTATCACAAAACAGCAAATTCGCTTTGCTTGGCATAAAATGTGATGGTGTGTGTGTGTGTGTGTGTATAAGTTTGTGTTGGACCCGGACGCATCCTGGCATTCAGCGCCCATTCCAGCTACAGATTTGTGCTTAGACATTTTTCGCCAGCTCGTCCAGCTTCCGGCTCGTGGCCCAGCCCCTGCTGCGGCTGTCATCAGCTTTGCCTTTGGCCCTTCATCTAAGACGCTGTCTGTCTGGCTGCCTGTCCGTCCACTCGTCCGTCTTGCTGTCTTTTATTATTATTATTTTTATGTACTCGCATTTTTATTTGCGTGGTTTGTGTATTTTACAATTTGATGTGATTTGAATTTTCAATGATGCCCCAAGTTCGGGGCGATTGAGAGATTGCGAGAAGCCAAATCAAGAGAATTTCGTAAGCCAAAAATGGGAAAAGAATCAACTGATGCGTAAAGCGCGTCGTCATTCCGGACCCGAAAAAAAAAAAAAAAATTGAAAATGAAAAAAGAAAACAACAACAAAAATGAATAGTAGATGACGATGACAACGTTGTTGCCAGGGGCGTGGCATACAGACCCAACATCGATATGTCGTTTGGCCAATGATTTCGAATGTGTTGCCACGCATAATTTTATTTATTTTTCAATTTGGCTGCCACCTCGCCCACGCCCCCCGCATCTACCTCTGCCTCCTGCCTCCTGCCTCTGTCTCTGCCGTCTGTGTCCTTAAGCACTTAGCTTGCTTATGAGCTAAGTCTGTTATGATAGCACATTGCTCCTGTTCCCGCCTCTGTCTCTGCCTCTACCTCTGCCACAGCTATAGGCACACACGCACTACCATGTGCTGACAATTTGCTGTCGAAGTCGCGCAGCGTGCCCCTGCTAGCAGCACACTGCGTGCCTCTGCCTTTGGTTCTGCCCCTGCCGCTGCCTCTGCCTCTGCCTCTGCCTGCATTTTTGCGCTGGCCGATTCAATTTTTGGCTTGCCAAAATATTTGTCGCTCGACTGGCATCCAAATTTCCTTCCCCTTTTTTTTTTTCTTAAATATACATATATATATTTAGCTTCGAGTGCAACTGTCGCCATAGAGAGACTACAGTAAACACTCCATATAAAATACATTGTATGCTCAATTGAAACATGAACAGTGGTTTCATTCCATAGCATTCAATTCATTCATATAGAAAAAAATAATAATAAAAATAATAT